GCATTTTAACAATTAAGTATATAATACTGTAAAACAAGGGAGCATTTGACAACCCACAAATTACAGGAAAGGCTCCAAATGGCAGGTAGTGGGATATTTTTGAAGGAAAATATCCCAGCCCAAAAAGCTTGCAAGAGAGGACTATGGCAAAGGTGAAAGTAACGCTGGGGTGGATTCATGGAACAGGAGGGTACATGGCAGCCAACAAGACAGCTTGTTGGGACTACTGCAATTCACAGAATCCAACTATGGGCTGGGCCCTCATACACTCCTCCTTATCCACTGCCTTCAAACAGACAACAGAAATGTCCTATTTCCAGCAGGAAGGAGGGAGGAAGATTTGGAGAAGTAAGCACCAAATGGCTATTAATTCCCAGCAGTTCTGGGGGTGCTCCAATGTGCAGAATGTGATTTATTGGCAACCCCAACCAGCACTACATCCTGACCTCCAGAGGAAGCTATAGTAAAAGGCATTCATGGAGAGGCTAATGGGGAATCCCAAATTCCAGAAAGAGCAAACAAAAAAATCACCAGATACTCATGGAAAACCAACACCATGAAGAAAAATGAACTGAATGGAACAAAACAGAAGATGCAAATACACTAATTAAATGGATTATGTTGGACAAACATGTTTTTTTTAAAGGTATAATTAATTGCCCTAAGAATAATAAGAGAAACTTCCAAACCTTGAAATACGAAAAAATTGGTTACATTTCTAAAAAGGGGACTTACAGGAAAAAATGAATAAAAGGCTGAAGAGGAGATAGAGCTGAATAGCAAATAATGACTTCAAAGACTGAGCCAAATAGTTCTCCTAGGAGAACATACAGAAGGACAGAGAAGTAGAGGACGCCTGGGTGGCTCAGTCGTTAAGCGTCTGCCTTCGGCTCAGGTCATGATCCCAGGGTCCTGGGATCGAGTCCCACATCGGGCTCTCTGCTCTGCGGGAGGCCTGCTTCTCCCTCTCCCACTCCCCCTGCTTGTGTTCCTGCTCTCGCTATCTCTCTCTCTGTTAAATAAAAAAAAAAAAAAAAAAATCTTTAGAAGGACAGAGAAGTAGAAAGTAAGAAGGTGGGGTTTTTTGGTTTTGTTTTTCCTTTTTAATATAAGAGATCAGAGTGAGGTGTGGGGGAAGATGATGGGGTAAGAAGGGCTAGGAATCCACCTCTTTACTTAGACCAAAATTTTACTGAGAGACTCTGCCTGATGTAACTGTTTTGGAACTCTGGAGTCTGCTTGAAGACTTGTAGCTTTGGGGGGATGGCTTGGCCAGTAAATTTCAGCTGTTATCATGATAGAGACTACCCATCACCAATCCCCTAGATCCATGATGGACAGCTGTATCTGCATTCCTAGACAGGCTTGTAGTAGGAGGCGTGGGCAGTGCTTGATGAATTTTGGTCTAGTATCAAAAGGTAATATGCACAGTTATATGAAGAGGCTATTAAAATACTCTTGCCTTTAAAAACTATCTTTGGGCGCCTGGGTGGCTCAGTTGGTTAAGCGACTGCCTTCGGCTCAGGTCATGATCCTGGAGTCCCGGGATCGAGTCCCGCATCGGGCTCCCTGCTCAGCAGGGAGTCTGCTTCTCCCTCTGACCCTCTTCCCTCTCGTGCTCTCTATCTCTCAATCTCTCTCTCTCAAATAAAAAAAAAAAAAAAAAAATCTTAAAAACTATCTTTGTGGGGCTAGGCTCTATTCATATACTTTGCTCAAAACATAGTATAACAGATTGAATGCAGAAATGTGTTCAAGAATCCAAGTGTCTTCTTTCAGGCCATATAGTAAGATTTACAAACATTTAAATGAGTGCCACTCTTCTCACTATTTTATTTTTGTCTTGTAAAATATCATTATGTTTAACAAAAAATGTTATTCATGTTAACATCTAATGAGTTTATCATTGTTACTTTTAGTGAATTAATAAGTATTTTCAGATGTCTCTGCTTTAATTTCAAACATCATAAATATTGAAAGTTACAACCTCATAAAAAGTTCTTTGGTATTCTCAGTAAATTTTTAAATTAAAATTGAACACACTGAGAATCTCCTGACCTCTACACAATTCTATCCCAGACCCCCTGAAGAAGGGGAAGGGCTCAGGGAGACCTATCTTGTGATGTATCATCAATAAAGTATACTGTACCCAGCTCAAAAAAAAAATACATGTATATATAAGCAGACCAGCAGTGGTCACCAGATATTTAAGGAAATCATATTAAGCATATAATATGAAAAAATAGCAATACAAATAAAAAAGATTATTCAAAGAAAAGACTCTCAAGTAAATTAATGTTAGTGCCTCCATAAAAATAAGAGGTAACATTATATCCATTAAATAACAGGTTGCTATTTAAAAAAAAGAAAAGGAACATCTAGGCTATTAAAAGAAACTTGTAAATGAATCATGAGAGATGAAAACCATAATAAAAGGATTGGGAGGTACCTGGGTGGCTCAGTGGGCCTTCGGCTCATGTTCCCAGAATTGAGCCCTGCATCAGGCTCCCTGCTTAGCAGGGAGTCTGCTTCTTCCTCTCACTCTGCCCCTCTCCCCCTGTTCATGCTCTCTCTCTCAATAAATAAAATCTTAAAAAAAAAAGGATTGGAAGATAAATTTGAACAGTTCTTTCAAAATCTAGAGTAAAAAGACCGAGAAATGAAAAATAAGACAGAAAAGTGTCCAGGAAGTTCAATATTCAAAAACACTGGAGTTCTCATAAAGAGAGAACAGATAAAAGAATGGATAGAAAATTATCAAACAATCCAAGAGAACTTTTCTGGTTTAAGCTCCACTGAGTGCCCAGCACAATGAATAAAAATAAATCCATACCAACACACATCAGTGTGAAATTTCAAAGAGAATTTCCAAAAGCCTCAAGGGAGTAAAAACAAGACTTACATAAAGAATAAAGATTCATAATAGCATGGGCCTTCTCAGGAACAACACTGGAAGCTAGAAGACAGTAGAACCACACCTTCACAATTTTGTTGGAAAATTACAAGATTTCTGTACTCAGCCAAAGTATCAATCAAGTGTGAACATAAAGATATTTTGAGACATGCTAAGTCTCAAATACTTTATCTCTCATGTACCTTTTCCCACATAAGAAGAATGAACCAAGAAAGAGAAAGATACAGGGTTCAAGAGAGAAGTGAAGGAAATCCCCAGGACAGAGATCCCAAGATAATAACTGTACAGAGGGAATAAAAAGTGACCTGCCTGGATTGGAACAGGTCAGAGGGTTCTAGGAGAAACTTCTTTAAGATGATGAAAATGGAAGAATGTCAGGTATATTTGAATGTAGTGCAAGGAGATTATGCACTTGGGTTGGAGTTTGGGAAAAAGGAAACCGGTCATCTTTTGGAGTGCAATTTAATATGCAAATGCTTACACAGGGTCCCAGATAGGCATATGCAAGGATACCACTGTAGCAGTGTCTGTAATGGTGAGAAATTAGAAATAACCTAAATGTCTATAAATGAAGACATTGTCAAATTACAGAACACACATACTTGTTTAATAATAGGCAGCAAGTAAAAAAAATGGGGGACAGCTTTTTGTTTTCTGTTGTGGTTCCATTTTTCAGAAAACACAAGACTAAATTTCTAGATTTATGATTATATATGAATATAACTAGAAAAAGATCTAATAGCCTATATCTCAAACTTTCATTGTATCGATCTCTAGTTGTTTATTCATTTAACATCTATTTCTTGAGCATGTAGTATGTGTAAGGAGTTGGTTCCTTCATGCTGGAAATGGAGCAGAGAGCAAAACAGAAAAAAGGACGTGTCCTCATAAAGCTGATATCCTAGGAGGAAGAAACAGATGATGAAAAATAAATAAATACATTATAGGTCAGGTGATGAAAAGTACTCTGAAGAAAACTAAAACAGGGTAAGATAGATAGATGGGGTGGGAAGGGCACTTTCTGTGTTTAAGCTCTGCTGTCCAGTGGCACTTCCCGCAGTTATGGACAAGTTCTGGAAATTTGCAGGGTCCAATACTGTAAGCCACTAGCCTCATGTCCACTGAGCATTTGTTATATGGCTGATGCAACTGATAAATGGAATTTTAAATTTTATTTCATTTAAATTTAAATTGCCACATGTGGCTCACTGCTACCATATTGGTCAGTGCATTTGAATGGGATAGTCAGGGATGCCATCATATAAGGCAACGCTTGAGCTGAGACCTATATGAAATGAAGGAGCTAGTCATGGGTTGCAGGCAGAATGAAAACCAGGACCTCATCTGGAGTAGTTGGAGAAGGCCTGTAAGGCTGGAGCAGGATGAGTAAGGGAAAGAGTAGAAGAAAATGAAGCCAGAGGAACAGAAGGGGCCACCATCATGGAAGGCCACAGCGGCCAGTATAAGACTTTGCTTATTCTCTGAGGTGGGAAGCCATTGCAAAGCTTTGAGCAGACAAGTGAAGTGATCTGAATTTTTAAAGGGTTGCTGGAACTATTCTGATGATAAACAGTGGGGATGAGGGCAGAAGCAGGGAGAAAGTTAAAAGGCTCCTACAGTAACTCAGACCACAGGTGATGGTGAATCAGTGGGTAGTGATGGAGTGTAGAGGTCACAAATGAATTGACAGTATTTACTGCTGATTGGTAAGGTACACGAGAAAGGGGGGACCCACCCAACGGAGGGCCTTGAAGGGCTTTCACCTGAGCAAATGAGATCGGTAGCACTGGGGAAGAGAGCATTTTGGAGAAGGAATTCAAGAGTTCTGTTTGGGGCATGGTAAATTGGAGGTGCCTGTAGATAGTTATGCCAAAGTCCTGACAGTAAGTGATGTTAAAATGGGAAATTCAACTAAAGGATTTCTTCCTGGAGAGTTGAGTAAGAGAAAGGTTGATTGATGGTGTTAGCCTTCTTTATGTGAGAGACAAAGTAAGTAACTTGTCATCAGTCTTCAGCATGAAGATTTTCTGTCTTTAATTACACGTGGCTCTAAGATTTGGATAATTATTTCTTATTTATTCCATAGAATGGTTCCTGAAAAAATAAGGTTCCTGTCACGAGTTTGTATACCACTTGTAACTCTGCCAGATATTGAACCCCTGGTGGAGGCTCTGCTCATCTACCATGGACATGAACCTCAGGAAGTGCTCTGGCCTGAGTTCTTTGATGCTGTGAATGAGGCCTTTCTGCTGTAAGTGACGTCCATTTACTCTCTCATCCAGCTTTGTTTTTCCTTTCTTAGAATCCTTCAGTATATTGGAAATGCAGTTTTCAAACTTTTGGTCTCAGCACCACATTATTGAGGATCCCAGTGAGCTTTTTTTTTTTTTTTAAATGTGGGTTTATTTATCAATATTTTACCATGCTTGAAATTAAAACAAGTTTTAAGAATACTTATTACTTCATTTAAAAATAATAAACTGATTACATGTTCACACAAATAGTGTATTTTTATGAAAAAGTGATCTTTTCCAAGAAGAAAATTGTTTACAGGAGTGGCATTGTTTTACATTTTTGCACATCTCTTTATCATCTGACATAAGACAGCTGGTTCTCATATGTGTTTCTGTTCAGTCTGATGTGATATGTTGTTTTGGTTGAAGTATATGAAGAAAATTCAGCCTCACACAGATACATAGTTGGAAAAGACAAGAATATTGCAGTAGCCATCTCACATAATTGTGGATTTTCTCCTTGGATAGATACCTCACCAAAATTTGAAAATGGTAGTGTTTTAAGGTTAGTTGCTATACAGAATCTGAAATTATAACAATGAGCTTTTCATACTGTTACATTAAAACCCATTGAATGAGGAATACTTTTTTGTTTCGTTGGGGTTTTTTGGTGGTATACTTTTAATAGCTCTTCTGCCCAAGCAGGATTTTGTAGCCTGGTTTTTGAATGCATGCTTCATTTGGGAAATACTGGTTTACTAAGTTATGCAGATCTAAACCTGACATACTTTATTTTATAGCATCATCACTTTCATTCTTGTCAGCACCAATCTCATCAGAAATGTCTTTAGGTATTAGGAAGCTTTTCAAGCTCACATTGGCAGGAACAAATTCTCCAAGATTCAAATTTCTACTTAAAAACTCAAATTTATCATTGGCTACAAAATACTGTCATTTGTTTTCCTTAAGGTACAAAGGTCATTTCACTAATTTTTGAGAAAGTATGTGCCAAATACTCAATTCTGAGTAACCACTGTTTGTCTGCCATTCTTTCAAGTAAATTTCCATTACAAAAAGGTGGCTAGTTGATCTTGCAGCTCATACAGTTGCAAGTACTTTTCCTCCAGACAACCATCCTGATTTGTTATGCAGCAGAAGTGCAGTATGCATGCTTTCCTTTTCACCACACAGAATGTTTTTTTATAAAAAGTATTCTCAAGTGTAAAATTTAGTAAAATTAATATTTTATACTCCTTCCTCAAACACATTTTTATGTGAAACTGGCACTGTTATTACTGTATGTAGCGGTGAAGAATACAGTGACTGCTTCTTCTGCTTGACTCGTGCTGGGCACAATAATTTTACTTGCTAGTGCTTTTGCACTATGAGTGCAAATGTCAACACAGTTGTTCCAGGAAAAACCATGAGATTCAAAATAGTTATTCAACACTTTAAGTATTTCTCTACCATGTGTGTGTACTGCCCTGCTCATTTAACAGAACTCCTGTTCTCAGTGTTAATAGGAGATGAATACAACCAACACAGCTAATTCAGCCATATCTAGAGGTCCACTTTTAAGGCAGAAGTATAATTCTCTTGATGAAATATTAATTTATTACATCTGTGTTTGAGTTATTTAATTTCTTTTTGTTTCGACTCTGAATGATTGATCTCACAATTGATGCCACAGTAAGCTAGCACCGTAATAGTATTTGAAAACATTCTATTCAATAAGGCATAATAAGGTAAATTAGTAACATCTATGAAACCAAGGGAAAGATAGCTTTCTTCATATTTGCTTTCACTTACAGTTTAGCCCAGTTCCTTTGGTGTACATGTCTCCCTGTCATGAGTCAGGGAAATCTCTGGTGTATTGGTTTCATCTTTTCCCAATGAAACAGCTGTGGATGAGAAAGCAAATCTTTTCATTCTCCTTCGTAAAGTAAATGTTCCATTCTTAAATGTTAGAAAATATATTATAAATGAATTTTATTTTTTAATAAAATATCAAGTTCTAAGAAAATCTAAAATATGTTCTGTATTTGTGAAGCATATATAAATATACTTAGATCTAATATAATTTAGATAAAATTTATCTAAATTTTTTCACTTGTCTGTTGGCCATCTGTCTTTTTTGGAAAAATGTCCATTCAGGTTCTCTGCCCATTTTTTAATTGGACTATTTTTGAGTTATGTGTGTATGTGTTGAGTTGTAGAAGTTCTTTATATATTTTGGATGTTAGCCCCTTATCAGATATATCATTTGCAAATATTTTCTTCCATTCAGCAGGTTGTGTTTTCATTTTGCTGTGCAAAAGCTTTTTATTTTTGTATAGTCCCAATAGCTTATTTTTGCTTTTGTTTCCCTTGCCCGAGGAGATATATCCATAAAAATGTGGCTAAGGCTGATGTCCAGGAGGTTACTGCCTATGCTTTCTTTTAGGAGTTTGTGGTTTTAGGTCTCACAGTTAGGTCTTCAATCCATTTGAGTTTATTTTTATGCATAGTGTAAGAAAGCTGTCCAGTTTTCTCAGCACCATTTGTTGAAGAGATTGTCTTTTCCTTATTGTATATTCTTGTCTCCTTTGTCAGATTAATTGACCATATAAGCATGGGTTTATTTCTGGGCTCTCTATTCTGTTCCACTGGTCTGTGTCTGTTTTTGTGCCAGTACCATAGTGTTTTGATTACTATAGCTTTGTAGTATATCTTGAAATCTGTGATTGTGATATCTCTAGTTTTGTTGTTCTTTCTGCTGATTGCTTTGGCTATTCAGGGTCTTTTGTGGTTCCATACAAATTTTAGTATTATTTTTCTAGTGCTTTCCCAAGTTAAGTTATTGAAGAGACTGTCCTCTCTCCATTTTATATTTTTGGCTCCTTTGTCATAGAATGACCATATATGGTACTAGCACAAAAACAGACACGGATCAGTGGAACAGAATAGAGAGCCCAGAAATAAACCCATACTTATATGGTCAATTCTGGGGCTGTCTGTTCTATTTACTGATCTGTATGGCTTTTTTTATGCTAATACCATACTGTTTTAATTATTATAGCTTTGTAAAATAGTATGAAGTCAGGGAGCATGATGACTCCAGCTTTGTTCTTTCTCAAGATTACTTTCACTCTTTGGGGACTTTTGTGGTTCCCTATAAATTTTAGGATTGTTTGTTCTATTTCTTAAAAAAAAAAAAAACTGCCATTGAAATTTTGATAGCAGTTGCATTGAATTTATGAATTGCTTTGGGTATATGCACATTTTAACAATATTAATTCTTGTTAGGTTTTTGAAGATATTCTTTATCAGTTTGAGAAAATTATCCTCCATTTCAATTTACTGAGTTTTTGTTTTGAATTGGTTTGGATTTTATCAAATACTTTTTCTGCATCTATTGATATGATCACGTGACTTTTCTTTTTCAGCCTGTTGATGTGACTGATAACATTAACTCATTTTCTTTTTTTCTTCTTTTTTTTTTTAAAGATTTTATTTATTTATTTGACAGAGAGAGACAAAGCGAGAGAAGGAACACAAGCAGGGGGAGTGGGAGAGGGAGAAGCAGGCTTCCCGAGGAGCAGGGAGCCCGATGTGGGGCTCGATCCCAGGATCCTGGGATCATGACCTGAGCTGAAGGCAGACGCTTAACGACTGAGCCGCCCAGGTGCCCCAACATTAACTCATTTTCAAAAGTTAAACTAGCCATGCATACCTATGACAAATTCCACTTGGTCGTGATGTATAATTCTTTTTATACACTATTGGATTCAATTTGCTAATATTTAGTTGAGGATTTTTACTTCTATGTTAATCAGAGATATTGGTCTTTAAGGTTTGTTTTGTATTTCTTTTTTCTCTGCTTTTGGTATTAGTATATTTCTGGCCTCAGAAAAAGAGTTAGGAAGTATTTCCTCTGCTCTTCTCCGCTGAAAGAGATTGTAGAGAATTGGTACAATTTCTTCCTTGAATGTTTAGTAGAATTCAGCAGGGCCTGGTGCTTTCTTTTTTGAAAGGTTATTAAATGTTCATTTAATTTCTTTAATAGTTATAGGCCTATTCAGCATATTTCTTCTTATGTGAGTTCTGTTAGAATGTTATCTTTCAAGGAAGTAGTCCATTTCATTTAGGTTATCAAATTCATTGACATAGAGTTGTTCATAGAGTTCATTATCCTCTTAATGACCATAGGATCTGTAATGATGTCTCCTCTTTCATTTCTGACATTAGTAATTGCTGTTCTCTCTCTCTCTTTTTTTTTTTTTTTAAAGTTAGCCTGGATAGAGACTTAATTGATTTTATTGATCAATTCCAAGAACCAGCTTCTGGTTTCATTGATTTTTCTCTATTGATTTCCTGATTTCTACTTCATTGATTTCTGTTTTAATTCTTACTTTTTCTTTTCTTCTGTTTACTTTGGATTTAATTTGCTTTTCTTTTTCTAAATACCTCCCTGAGGTGGAAACTAGGTTATTGATCTTAGATATTGCTTATTTTCTGAGTATGTATTTAGTGCTATAAATTTTTCTTTAAGCACTACTTTTGTTGCATCCCACAAATTTTGATAAATTTTGTTTTCATTTTCATTTAGTTAAAAATAATTTTAAATTTCTCTTGAGGTTTCTTACTTGATCTGTGTGTTACTTAGAAGTGTGTTGTTGAATCTTTACATAATTTGGGATTTTCAAGTTATCTTTCTGTTATTGATTCCTAGTTTATAATTGAATTGTGGGGGCGCCTGGGTGGCTCAGTCATTTAAGCGTCTGCCTTCGGCTCAGGTCATGATCCCAGGGTCCTGGGATCAAGCCCCACATTGGGCTCCCTGCTCCGCAGGAAGCCTGCTTCTCCCTCTCCCACTCCCCCTGCTTGTGTTCCCTCTCTCACTATATCTCTCTGTCAGATAAATAAATTTTAAAAAATCTTTAAAAAAACAATAATTGAATTGTGATCTGAAAGCAGACATTGTATGATTTCTATTCATTTAAATTTGTGAGGGTGTGTTTATATAGGTTTGGGGGGG